CTTAGCTATTTGAGAGCCAATTCTTGAAGAAATTGTCGTGTTCTTGAGCGTTTACTAGTTCACTCATATCTACTCTTTGTGAGAGTTTTATTCCTGAGTGTTTAAGTGTTTTCATACACTTTAAGGGAGTTTGTTCCCTTGTTGTAAACTCGAAGGAAGTTTCTTGTTCCTTCGTGAGAAGTCTTGGAGTGCGGTATCTCCGAGCAAAGGTGTTGAGGCTCGTGTGACTCGGGTTCTCAAGTTGTATCGGTTTGTTAAGCACCCTTAAGCTTAACGGAGTTAGTGTAGCTCGAGAGAGTCTCTCGGGGGGCTGGATTAGCCACACGTTGTGGTGAACCAGGATAAAATCCGGTGTGCTCCTTCTTTACGCTCTTTACTTTAACGCTCTCGTTTTAATTTCCTGCGATTTTGTTTTAAACGCTATTCACCCCCCCCCCCCCTCTAGCGTTGGGCCTTTATTCTAACAAAAAAGATGAACACACTTTAAATATAAAGATGGATAATTACGAGCTTGGGTTCATCATAAAAATGAAGGATTATGGCCTTATTTATAGTGGAGAATGCTTAATGTCCGGTTATGATCGTTTGGAGCTGATTTGGAGTACTAAAGGTAATTAAAAGTGTTTTAAAAGGAAATCCACAACTTTGACAAAATACCCATTGAAACGGTACCTAGGTTCTGCCTTAACAGCAGGGGGTCTTAGACTAACGGTAGCTAGGTACCTTCTCAGTAAAAAATTCCTTGACAGTATGTAATGCCCCGAAACCCGACCTATCAGAATTAATTGATTAAAAGTAATTAATTAATTATTGAGACGGACTCAGGGTTAATTAGAAATGTTTTTCAATAAATTATAAAAGTTATACCGTTGTGTAGGGTTCGATGAGACGAGTCTAACGGTGCAAATGGATCTGAATTTGAAGCAAGTTGGCCCGAAAAGTGTATTTTTCCAAGGTACATTACTTAATTACGGAGCACGAATCCCTAGGGTATTTAATAGACATGACGTGCGTGTACACCACACAGGCTGCACGCCTCACCTTTGTTTATCTCTTTCTTTCGATCGTGATCGGTAGCGGAATAGGACAAGAAGAGGAAGAAGTAAAAAAAGAAGAAAAAGAAGAGAAGATCGAGGAAGGTTGCCGTTGCCGCCTTCACGTTGTCAACCTTTATCGTTTGTAGTCTAATCTTTCATCGTTTCGGGGTGAGTACGTGGAACCATATAGTTAGAGTATTTAATTAGATTTGAAATCTATGTTCGTAATCGTTGTAATTATTGAATCACATGAAAATCTATACCGATATGTTTAAATTGGATCTTTGGGTTTATGAATAAATCAATGGCTAAAATGCATGAATTAGTCGTAAAATCGATATCGTATGTTATGTGATATCGAGTGTATGTTTGCCAGTGCTTCTGAATGTTAAATTGAGAGGAATTGGACCATCATGTGTATAAGAGACACAGTCAAGAACTGTTTTTGCGATACACAGATAGTTATTCTATATTGTCTACTCTTTCCGTTCCAAAAAATGCTACGTTTCATTTTTTGTGCATCTCAAAAATACTTTTACCACATCTAAAATATCTAAAAATTACCTCATTTACCCTTTATTGTGGATAGAAATCGTTTTGAAAGATTTTTTGACATTTGAGATGATATAAAAATATTTTATGGGATACGCAAAAAATGAAACGTAACTTTTTTTTTTGAGAAAGAGAGTATAAGTGTTGGTATACACTTGATATACCCTTGATTTACAACAATGTTTTTTTAAAAACTTTCATACCCATCGATGTATCTCTTCAAACTTCTTTTAACTCTTAAACGCAAAAGTGAGGCTACTAATATTATGAGATCCCAAATATAAGGGTTTTGTCGGTTTGAAAATGTGTTTAGAACTATCAATATTTTGGAGTGCAAAATGAAAAGGGATTGCGCGTAATTTTACGCGTTTGGTTTCGGCGTATGGACCGTGATTCACGCCTCCCCGGGGGGCCCATGTCACATTTATATTCTCGGCTATTCTCTCCATCATCATCTTCAAATCAAGCTTCCTACTCTCTCTCCAGAACACAAAACCAGAAGAATCCCCAGCTCCGAAGATGGCGAGATTCGTTGCACTCTTCGCTCTCTGCGCCCTCGCCGCCGCCGCAACCACGATTTCCGGCGTTAGCGCTTCCCGAAGACCTATCCCTGCTGTCATCACTCTCATTGGCAGAGCGTACGTGGACACTTGCAACGTCGGCTTCGAAACCACACACAGCTTATACCCCGCCGGTAACCTCTTCTTCGTTCTTCGAATCCGATCTTTATCTTCTCAAATTATGTCGATCTCTGCTTTTCCAGATCCGATTGCTTTTCAGATCTAGGGTTTGACCTTTACCGTGATGTAGATCTAGCTAATAATCGTACCAATACTTGTTCATACATACTTTGTCAGGCTCAACTGTGAAACTGGTGTGCAAGTTCAGCAAGACCAGCAAAATCACCTACACTGACAAAGCCGTCACTGGCGCCAATGGAGAATACAAATTTACTTTGAATGGTCGCCGGAGTGATAAGGAGGTCTGTCATGTTCAGGCCATTGAAAGCGTGCATCCTGACGCCGGCAAACCAGATCCGGCCAGGGAGAGCGCCCTTGTCATCCTCAACGGGAGCAATGGCATCGCCAGCAACACACGCTACGCCAACAATGTGGGATTCGCCACAACCAAGCCTCTTTCCAACTGCGCCCAGATCGTCTCCCAGTACCACCTCAACGATGACAACTTTTAAGAGGTCTCTGTTCAGCCTATATTTTAATATTCCACACGTTTACTCGCTACTTCATCTTGTTTTCAAGAGTGTGTAGCTTATGCACATCGCCTCTCGGTGCCGTTTGCTTATACTTTATTTGATTGAATTTATGGTACGTTTACATTGTGTTGACGTTCGCCTTGTGTATTGTAATATGTTCAGACTTGAGATCAGTTGGTTATAATTAATCTCTGTGGTTTTTGTTAATGCTTTGTTACTTCATATTATGAATCCTTGAGTGGGAAGAAGAAAAAGATCATGGTCCATACCAATTTTGTAAATTGTGTGAGATTTTGAGATCAACTATCCAACCTATCTTGATTGATAGAAGATGGAGATGGTCCCTTTTTTTTGTATCTGTGACGGATTCTCTGCCCTTTTATTTTATCAAACCGTCCATCTACACACCCAATCTCAACCAGATTCTTCCCCGGAAGAGGAGGAGGAGGCTAATGAAACCTCAAGCCGGAGATGTGGGCTGAATAGAGGGGGAGGGACCATGGTGCTTTCTTGCTCGACAGGAGATACTAAGCTTGTGGGGTAAGAAAGGACTTCAATTTGTACAAATAAAGGGGCTAAACTATATGTCACATAACTCGTGTGTGTACATGAAGTCACTTGCAACTAAATTTTAATTTGGGAATAGTAAACTCATAGTTGAGAATTAATCAAAGCCAGCAGGGGACATAATTTTTTTCATCATTTCTTTGTAAATTTTATTTTCGAGTGTGTATTGTGGGGTGGGTGAGAACTTTACGAGCAATGGATAATGGTGAGGTAAAAATGAAATATCACATGTTGACGTGAAATATTATTTCAACCAATGAAAAATCTTCCAATCAACAAATGGTAAGGGAGTGGGGTAGCATATTCTGCCGTGACAAATCATTGTTTATTTTATTTTTTTTCATTTTCTTGCCATATTTGAATTATTAAAAATTATTTTACCTATTTACTTTATCATAAAAATATTTCTATTTACTCAAAAATAACTTTTTTTTATATATTTTAATTTTAAAAATTGTTTTTTGTTATGTACTCCGTATTTTCATTTACCCATCTGTCTCAAAATTGATTACAATTTTAGAATTACGAGAAAGAACTCATTTTTTAAAATTATTTTATTTAAAAATTAATATAAGAATAAAAAATAAAACTTACATATGAAAAAATTATATCAAACGTTCTACAAAGTAAGAGGTGATAGGAAAATTTTATTTAATGAAAAAATCAATAAAAACATATAAATAAGCAAAAGTTATGGAGAGATTGAAGAAAAAATATTGTAATCTATTGCGGGACGAAGAGAGTAAAAAATAGTTCTACTACCTTACAAAAAAACATTTTTCCTCAAAAAAAAATTATACCATGGAAGAACGATAATTTCATGTGAGAAAAAAATGAATTTTCTTTTGACGTGGCATGTCATGGCAAGTGGATGGAATGCCGCTGCCCATGCTTTTGGGCTATCTGTAATGCTCCACCACCGCTCACTCCAAATCAACAGTCATTCAGCGCCACTCAACGCCGCTGACAGCACGCACTATCTCACTGACTCCACACTTGTAGTACCTCACATCCCCTACAATGATTACGCTTTTATTTTTTACTAAATTTACCTATTTCTTTTCAAATTAAATTCTATATTTTATAATAAAATAATTAAAAATTATTTTTGGGTTTATTCTATTTTTATTCCTTTATTGAATTTTTTCTCATTTTGGATTAATAATTTTTTCCCAGTTTTTTTTATTATAACCATTAAATGCACAAAAAAGCAATTAATCTATAAACCCATAAATTACATGAATTAAAAAAAGTAAAATAAATAATTAAATTTAAAAAAATGAATTACATGTAAGAAAAAAATTACACGTAACACTAATTTAAATTTCGATTTTTTCTAAAACTGCTCTACTAAATTTGCTCTAAGGTTCTTGTACATTTCTTTACTATGCATTTGGGCACGTCTTGCAATTCGTTCATCATTAGTGACCTTTCCAATGTTGTCATCATACACATATTTATGTAAAATAATCCACGTGTACATGGTGTTTAATATTTTTTTCGTTTTTCTCCCACATTTTTTCTGGAATATATTAGGTATAAGATGCCAACTTTTCTTTAGCAAACCCAAGGCGCGCTCGATATTCTTTCTAGGAGATCGACTCTCGAGCTTTCTTAAAAAACACACATTTCACATAGTTCGCACGTGGACAAGTAAACGACTTCACCATTGTAGGCCACTTCGGTAGGCCATCAGATAATGGCCATGTTTGGAGATCAAGGATTGGTCGTTAGCTATTTGCATTAGCCGATTTAAATGACTGATTGAGTTAACTATTTTGATCGGCTGATTATATTATCTTTTAAAGAAAAAGTATTTGGGAAGCTTAACTGCTAATAAATAGCCGTTCATAGTAGAAATTACATTTTTAGACATCTACATTAGATTAAATTTTGGATATTAATTAGATTAATTGAAAAAAACATCCATCCATTTAATTTAATTAGTACGAGTACATAATATTTTTTTCATGAAGCATACATGGTGTCGATTAGCTATCCCTTCAAATCAAACTCCAAAGAAAAAATGAATACAAAACATGCCATCGTTTGATTTAATAAGTACAGAGCACTATTTTTTCCATAAACTACACACATAGTGCCAATTAGTTTTTTTGCGGTATTGTTTATATTTTTGATGAGACATATTTAGATTTAATTATTTAAAAAATTACTGATTTGGTTTAGAATAAAATGAGGAGATAAGGGAGAAGAAAGCTACGTTGAGAAGAAAAACTAGAATACCTGTAGAAGAAGAGGGCGTGAAAAGAACGTAAAGCTAAGGGTAAAATTAAGAATAATTCTGAAATGCCATCTTGAAATGCTCTCCTTAGAGCAACTCCAACGGATGGTGTAAAAGGGAGTAAAGTGTAAAAAATAAAAGTTTTAACCTTTACTGTACACAATTTGGAACTCCAACGGGTAGGCTATAAAATAGACTGTAGTGTATTTCTCCATTCTGATCGTGTAAATATAGCCGCTGCTGTAGCAAAGTGGAAAGGTGAAAACTGAAAAGTCATATGCTCGATCGTCTTCTTCCTTGTTCTCCGTGCTCTCCAAACCCTAGAACATGATCTGAGAAACACTTTTCCATCTGCTCGATTTGGGAAAAGCTTCGCCAAGGTATGGACCTATGTTTTTTTTGTTTTGATGATTCCAATTCAGCCACTAATTCTCGTGGATTCATTTTTTATCATGGGGATTGAAGAAATCAAGTTTCTTTTTTTGTGGATTGTTGCCAATTTGCTTGAATTGTGAATTGAAGCCATCTGCTAGATTTGTGGATTTTTTATCTCACTGATTGAAGCTATCAAATTGTGTATTTAAAAAAAGAAAGTAAGAATTATAGAAGTTGTGGTTGGAGCTCACCTAAAAAAATTGATTTTTGAAGTACTATAGATAGTCTAAAAATACATTTTAGCCTCTCATTTTTAACCTACCCATTGGAGTTGCTCTTAGTGGCCTTTTCAAAAACAACGGTTCAGAGCATACAACCAAACTCAAAAGCCATGATCCAGACATTGTTTTTAGCTGATTAACCAGTCAAAATAGCCATATATCGCCAAAACAGCCAAAGACTGACTGAAAAGCTAATTTCCAAACATGGCCAATAACCAAAATTATACTTCGTATCATATCATTGACAATAAAAGATGACATAGCTGCAATTTCATTAACGATATCGTCAAAAACCAGAGACTGATCAAGAGCATCTAAATCATTAGCGGATTCACAAACTTCGAAGAAAGCATGCCATATCGAAAGATCATTTGGCGCTACTGCTTCAAGCATCAACATCAGGTGACTATGGTTACCATGTTTATACCGTTGGGCAAGTCGCCCACTCTAGTGCATACAATCAATGCTATGAAGCATTCCTGGAACTCTATGCACCTTTTTGTGAACATTGTATCCTTTTTGAATGTCATTCCATGAAAATTTCCACAAATATTTTTCACTGTATAGTGTTATACCGTCATGACACCTGCAATATAATAAAAATTAAAATTTTACCCTATATATATTTGGAATAAAATAATTATTACAAATTAAATATAAGAATACTTTGCAAAATTTGTAAAGTGTATCTCGACTTGTTTTTTCGGACATCTTCTGATATTGAGTAAGGAATCAAAACTTAATTGTATCGTATGCCAATTGTTGAATTGCAGATGTACACTTTTGCAAATGCGTAGATTTGAGTTTACCTCTTCCATCGTGACATTGTTGGAAGTGTTGAAATTGTGCTTGCAACTCATCGATTATTCTACAAAAAAGACGGCGGCTCATCCGGAAGCATCTAGCAAATGTCAAGTCATTGTACGTTGGCTCAAAATAAAAATAATCTTTTATGAGACGATGGCTTGAGGCCGCACGATCTCGATTGATTTGGATTCATCTTCTAACGACCCTTTTGTTTTCCTCCCGGCGAAAATTCGTGATAATACGAGCCGAGGTTTGGACTGCTTCAATATCTATTTTGTCCTTACTAAACGAATAGAAAGAAAGAAAGTGCAAAAAATTCATCTATTGAGTAGAAATTTAAATAAATGAGAGATAAAGAAATAAGAAGGGAATGTTTTTAAAAAATATATAAAGAATGGATGGTTTAAATAGTAGAGAGTGTAGGAGGTTTGAAATTTTAAAAGAAATTTTCTTTTTTTTAGTTGTAGTCTTTAAAACTTTGAAATTTACTTTCAAATTTTATAAATTTGAAAGTAAACGTTTTAGATATTTACAATGATTTAGAAGAATATTATGTAAACAAAATATTTAATAAACGTTATCTATATGTTTCTCAGTTTTGAAATAACTTCGGTCATATATCATAACCCAAAGTAGAAATTTTATTTTAGAACAGATGAGACCATTTATTAAATAGTTTATTTATATGGTATTCTTCTAAATAATTTTAAATAATTAGAAACATTTGTTTTTAAATTAGTAAGTTATATTTAAAGTTTTATTTATTATGTTCTCATCTTATAAAATTTTAAAATATTTTTCCATATTTAATGAGTTTTTTATTTTGAAAGTGGACTAATTTGAAAGAAATACCTAATTAGAAGGGATCATTTTAGAAATTAGTACTCCGTATTATTTTAATATCATTCTAACGCCCTTTTGACGACCATTAGTCGAAGGATTAAACTGAGCATTATTCTCAATTAATAAGTATTATCTTGATAATTAGTTAATCTTGGAGACTAATTTGAATAATTACATAAAGTATCATTTTGAAAATTTACTCTATAAATTTTTGAATCAAATAAATAATCCATTACATTCATTTTGTTTTTAATGCGAATTTTTTTAAAATGTGATTTAATCGCCGTAGCCGTATCAAACCGGTTTGGGACTAGCAGGTTTCCACGCCGGCGCGTGCTCTTATCGTGAAGCCGTTGGCTGTTCTTTTGAGATTTCCGATCGGCGGCAACTTCTCTGTTAACCAAATTCCACAGTTGTTATCGGCTTATGAGGTAGAATTATATCTCATTTATCGTCTCTCTTAAAGACCTTTGTTAATATTCTTTTCGAATGCGTGGATTTGCTGCTCTTATTTGTTCTTCATTTGCGTTTAGTTGAAGTTATTTCAAGCGCTTGAAGCCTCTTCGGTCGGAATGATCCTTAAAAATGAAGCCGTGACATTTTGAAGTCATATGATTAATACCTTGTAATAGTAGGAGTGATTATCATGAATCAAATCATGTACTCCTAATTAGTTCAATGTTTCAAATTGGGCAAATCGTGCTTTTATATCATCATTTCCCAATTATCCACGTTTGTATATGAAATCATTAGTTTTTGATTTGATAGGGAGTATGGTTGCTACTATTTTTGTTTCTGGCAATATGAATTGGGGGCACGGATTTGGCCGCGGCTGTGATTCCTATGGTCAAAATAACAAACTATATGGGAGATCATTATGTTCAACAAAAGAAAGATGCAACTTCAACAAGACAGCAAAATTCATCATGCCTTCATCACATAGTTCTCATAGGATTGCAACTAGTAAGTGAGTGATCCAAACCTGAAAACTCATTCACTTTCAGGTGTCAAATTATGGGCATATTGCTAGTTACTCAGTAAGTTTTTAAGGTGGGAGTTTTTTTTTCTGTGTTATCTTTTACTTGTATAGTTTACTAATGGCATGGGTCTTTGCAGATGAATCTACTTTGATATTGATCAGGCACGGGGAATCAATGTGGAACGAGAAGAATTTGTTCACTGGTTGTGTTGATGTGCCTTTGACCAATAAAGGAGTGGAGGAAGCGATTGAAGCTGGAAAGAGAATTAAGAACTTGCCTTTAGATGTCATCTTTATATCAGCTTTGATTCGTTCACAGATGACAGCCATGCTTGCTCTTACTGAACACCACTGCACAAAGGTATAGTTCAGTAACACTGTGTCATATATGCGCACTAAACATATGATTGCTCAAAATGCATACTGTTGTATTTGAGATGGAGGAAGTGGGGAAATGACATTGCTCTGAGTCGACCCACGGAGTGTAATATATCAAGTTGCTATATTTCGTATGTGTCTTGATAGAATCTGCACATAAAGTTATTGCTTTTTGGACTGGAACGTCCTAAAAAAGTTTTGTTTTATATGGAGTAAATTTTTATGGACTCTTGGCTGTTCGATCTTGACATATGTTATTAAATTGTTAATCATGTGAGTCTGCCAATAAGGTACTCAGTCGATTTGCATTAACTTGTTTATTAGGTGCCCATAATTCTGCATAATGAGAGTGAAGAAGCTAAATTATGGAGTGAAATTCATAGTAAAGATACGCAGGCACATTCTGTTCCTGTCATTAAAGCGTGGCAACTGAATGAAAGAATGTAATATGTTATCTAGTATCTACACATTTAATTTCTTTTTCTTCCAAAATGTATTTTCATTGAACAATTTGACGTTTGGTGCTTGATTCACAGGTATGGTGAGCTTCAGGGTTATAATAAGCAGAAAACAGCAGAAAGGTATGGAAAGGAGCAAGTTCATAAATGGCGCAGAAGCTATGATGTTCGTCCACCTAATGGGGAGAGTTTAGAAATGTGCTTGGGAAGGGCTGTTTCTTATTTTAAAGAGCATGTGAGTTTGGTCGCCTTCTCACGTAGAACACAATTTCTTGCATATTCTATTGCATATACCGGATTTTATATATAAAAAAAACAAGTTATGCAGATTGAACCCCAACTTATGGCCGGAAAGCATGTGATGGTGGTGGCTCATGCAAATTCTTTGAGATCCATTATTATGTATCTTGATGAGCTAACTTCTCAGGAGGTTGTACTTTCTTTTTCTATAATATTAGGCTTTATGCCTTATTCTACGTGTAGTTTAGTTGATATTAAAATTGGGTTTCTTGATGACAGGTTATTAACTTGGAACTATCAACTGGTGTGCCAATGCTCTACACTTATAAAGAGGGAAAGTTTGTCAGGAGAGGAAGCCCTCCTGGTTCAATGGAAGCTGGAGTTTATGCATACACAGAGGTTTATACTACATATCTTTGTATTATAAGCTCATAAAAGTAACTTATACTCCACCCACCCACCCCACCCCTATCTCATTTTTCTTGACACTGTACAAATCACAAAACAATAAGAAAATCCCATAATTGGCCGTATCAGCAAGAACAAAGGCTTTGGACCTTAATTGGCCGCATATATCCGTAAAACGTCAGCTAAAAGTGTCGGTGCTGATTAGAAAACCATCTTCATTCCAAATTTAATACTTTTTCTAGTTCTTTCTTGTTCAACCTTTGCTGAACAAATGGCCACTGATTTAGGAGCGAGCTTAGTGTGGAAGTAGACATATATGTTGGCCATGTGTGCATCAATTGTCCCGTGGCGGAGGCTATGTGGGCCTAGTCACAATCGAATGTCATGGGCGCTTGTGTGCTAAATGCACTATAAGGCTAGGGTATGTGCTTCTTCTAACACCAATTGGTTTTTAGAAGAGTTGGTAGCACCTGAGGTCCTACAATATAAACTACTTGGAGAATTACAATTGCAAGAAACTCTTGAGATTAATAGCGGTAGATGAGTAGGGATAGAACACCTATGAAGTGGGGGTATAAATATACAATATTGTTATAGAACTATGATGGATCATTTAAGCATATCCATCAATCATGTTTTTATCAATCCAGGATTATGGTGTATATTTTGTTTTCTTCTTCTTCTTGCAGTATCTGGCCTGTTATAGGCAAAGAGTGGATATAGGTAATACAGAAAAAGAACAGGTAAGATCATTACATGTATTCACATATACCTTGCCTCTTTCACTGTGTACTTTGTTTTGTTCAAGTGTTTTTTAAGTTGTTGCACCCATTGCCAATGTAGTTTTGTTATTGACAATACTTTAGCTTCAGGTAAATAATAGAGAAATCAAAATGACACATTAAAATTTCATTGTGTCTTCCAAAGTGAATGTAGCAATGCGGCTAACAAAAATAATTCTCTGTTATAGGGGTAAGAATGCGTACATCTTGGATCTCATAACACGATTGTGAAGTTGCTGTGGAAGAAATGTGTCCCAACACCTTAGTGGACTTCATTTGATTAGTAAACCATACATATTGTTTGTTCTCTTGGTGCTGGAGCTGTTGATAAATTCCAACAGCTCTCTGAACAACTCCATTTTGGAGTATTTTCATTTTGAGGAAATTCTTAGAAATGGTACTCAATAACCATATACTTTTTTTCAAATTAGTCACTAGGATGAACTAAATACTGAGATAGTACTCATTAATTATAAATAATGATCGGTTTAGTTCCCGACTAGCGACTGTCAAAACGACGTTAAAACTTATACTAATTTCACAAATGTTTTCCCAAAATTAGTCCAACTTTGAAATAAAAGCTCATTAAATATGAAAAAATAATTTTAAATTTTATAGGATGAGACTTGAGAGTATAATAAATAAAACTATATATATAATTAATAAATTTAAAAGTAGACATTTTAGATTGTTTAAAATTATTTAGAAAAATATCATGTAAATAAAACCTAATAAATGATTCCATTTGTTCTGAAATAAAACCCCTAATTTGGTTTATGATGTTTGATTGAAACTATTTTTAAATAAATGTAACTGAAAATTGGTCTAGAATTTTTTGTTAACATGAGCCTTATTTTTGGACGAAAGGAGTTAAGAAATGAGATTCAGTTTCAAAAATATTAATTTTCGCAAAAAATAAAGTATAAATTTTTTATTTACATAAATTGAGTTCTGTAATTATGAAATTATCGTGACTAAATAATACTTCATTCATCCTCAAATCAGGCTCATGTTTACAATTCATAGGGTCAAATTCTATTTATTTTGTTAATACATTTTCGTCGATCATTTTTAAAAACAGTCATGTCACTAGTTGTTTTGTAAAATTTCTTGTGTGCGTTTCTATTATATATTTTTTAAATTCTTGACCAATTTTCAGTTATAATTTTTTGAAAATAACTTCATCCATGTAAACCAAAAGAAGAGTCTTATTTCAAAACTGAGGGAGAAAATAAATAAAGTTTACCAAATATTTTATTTACATGATATTCTTTTAAATAATTATAAACAATTTGAAAAGTTTATTCTTAAATTTATAAAATTATATTTATAGTTTTATTTATTGTATTCCCATCCTATAAAATTTAAAACTATTTTCCCATACTCAATGAGTTTTTTTTTAAAATAAACCAATTCTAGAAATAACTAAATATAAATTATCATTTTGGGAAATTATTATTAGTTTTAAAGCCGTATAGACGGTCTACGGTCGTTAGTTGGTGAACTAAATTCATCATTATTTTCAACGCGTAACATCTCGATAATTAGTTTATGTTGGAAACTAATTTAGAAAATACATAGTTATTGAGTAATATTATAAAACTTTAATGTTTTATTTTGATCGTTTCATCGGTTCAGTATAATCTTAATCTTGAGTGCAACCTAAACAAATATCACTCAGGACGTTAAAACTCATGAGATTGACTACTGATATCTTTTAACTAAAGTTTTTTGCTGATTTTTGGTATGCTTCGGTGTCATGCGAAAGATGAAAATAGTTTAGATTTATTAATTTCTTTATGCATTTCAAGTAGTGGAAATTCGGGTAAATTTCAACAACAGTACCTAAACTTTTAGAAAAATTTCAATTTAATACCTCAATTCTGATGCATGTATACAACTTGGCTGATGATTACAACTGTACTTACTCCCTCAGTTTAATACCCAATTCTGTCCTGATGATTACAACCGTACTTACTCCCATAAAAGAATCTTCAGTGTCACTCAATAGAAGTTCGTCACAACTTATTTGGTTCGAACTATCCTTCGGGCATACATAGTCATACTCGTCAAGTAAGGAGTCAAAGAAAGTTTGGTCTAATTCTTCTGATGAGGCATCATTTGCAAAGGTTTCAATACACAAAATTGGTCCTTCTATGGATAATAGTTTCTCGTCTATAGATTCCTCTTCAAACTCTTTGGGATAAGTCAATGGTTCTATTTCCTCCAGAACAGGTCCCTCTAGAGGTGTATCTTTAACACAATTAAGAAGGGGGAAGTTTATTGTCATGGGGATAACTCCTCCCCTTTCTTTTTCAATTGGAGATTGAATAGGTGGCTCTGAGTCAGGTCCCTCAGCTGGTTCCACCTCATGTACAATATGACTAGGAGAATACTTAGGTATCATCACCACAGTAGCCCCAGCAAGCATTTGAAGGATTATGCCACACTTAGGTTTTTGTGATGGTGTCGGTTTTGGTGAATCTTTGAGAATAGGTTCGAAATTTGTTTCAACTTCCTGAGATTCTTGATGATGACTCAACGTTCTCCATTGATCCATCTCTTCTTGGGCTTGGAGATTAGATTTCTCTTCTTCTTCTATGAATTTGAGTTTGTTTGACTGGAGACTGATATGAAGATCCATGTGTCTTCTCCAAAATTCAGGAGAAAGCTCATCATACCGATCATACGCAGGGGTCATGACAAATATATTGTGCATTGCCAATAATCGGTCAAGTTCCCTTACCTCATTTTGTTTTTCATAGAAGTCCTCTGCTTCCCTTTGAAGTTGAGCTTTATTTTCACGGGGCTGAGCAATCTTGTTGAATCTCCAGTTGATGGTCCTCTTGTTCCATTCAAGCTTCTGAGCAAAGGTGTGCTTATTGTAATTCGAGAGAGGAGGGGGTCGATACGACGTGTCCTTGTCCATCAGTTCTTCATCCAGCTCTTCTCGCCTATTCTTAGCCTCTCGAAGCTTCATCACTAATCTTTCTTGCCGAATTGATCTGAGCATGTGCAATCTTGTCCGAAACACATAATTATTCTTTTTAATTTGTGATTCAGACGATAGAGTGTAATCTATGTGATCAGGGAGACCAATATTTGGATTCTCACTGATCAACTCTTGATTCAAATTGGATATCAGGCGCTTAGTTCGCTTGAGCTCTTCGGCATATGAATCAGGTCGGTAATGGTACATTGGCCTAGAGTGGTTGTAATCGTCTCGATCACCATGAGGTCTAAAATGATCCCTACAATTATATGGAGAATATCTGGGTAGGGATTGATAGGATGGTTCCTCATGGTTTGGATAATAGTCACACCCATTGTTTATTCGGTAGTCATCATTACAAGGGTTCTAGTGTGGGTGGTAAGGTGGGCGGGTCTAAAATAGAGGGAAGGAGGGTTGTTGATAGTAATAGGGCGGTCCATAATAACCACTGGAATTATCCATAATAGATATTACGGGTGGTTGGTGAAATAGAAGTGAAAAGAATGTTCTAACCGGTCTTCACCCAAGCTAATTAGAAGAAATTAGACTAATATTGTGCCACTACCCAGCAACAGCGCCATTTGATGATTGTAGTTTTTCGGGTAGTAAACCTTCCCAGTAAAGGGTTAATTTTCTCTGAGTATTGTGTCTCTTGAGGAGTGGACAAAGGGAATTAGCTAATATCTCTAACTAGGCAAAGGTTAGGATATGTTTATGAAAGTCTTCTCGGAACAAAATAAAAGAGAGCAATAAGGAAAGTAAATTTATTCACATAGTATAAGCAAGGTCTGGACCTAGGGTCATGACATCATGCGGGTTAACTATAGCACATTTAATTAACAGTTGGAACGATCGTATTTCTACGATTACTCACTTATTACTAGGATTCGTAATTACCCTATTTGACTTGAATATGACAGCCTTACGGCGTATAATATTTTCTCAATAAATAGTTAATTAAATCTTCCAATACTAATTAACTAAATAAGACAAGAACAATTTCAGAATAATCATTCCAACATTAACTAAACATTCAAAGTATGTGCCCAAACTAGTCCGGACCCCGGGTCCGGACCCTAACTCATACTATGCAAAATAATTAAAATAACATTATATTATATTGGAAAAACTTAAAACTTTCGTATAAGCGGAAAAGAACATATCTGGAGTAGATTTACTTCGAAAAATACTCCAAAGCTACACTTATACTAATCTAAAAGCTGGAATGGAGAAAAGAGATATGAATGTCGAAGTTGGGATGGAAATTGTGATGCAAATGGGGAGGAGAAGAGCTGTTTATATAGGATCGGACGCAAAGCGTCCAAGTCAAGCGTCTAGATCTGAATACCATAGCTATCTCGGCCGCTCTCCTTCCGCCACGTTTCATTCTTGGGCTACAATTAAGGTGAAGCGTCCAACTTGGCCAAGCATCCAAGTTGGACGCCTCAGGCCCCTGGTCCGTTGGGCTTCGCGACCGATTCTTAAATTTGGCCCAATTTCACTCTTTCTTGGCCCCGAACATAGTTTTTTGACCTCCCGGAAGCTCGTTCAAGCCCGAATCTTGATCCCTCTCCTTTTCTCGATTATATGAACATAAAATGGAGATTTATGATGATTTGATGTGAAATCCCTTCTTATGACTCTTAGAACAAAAATGATAGTTTTATTGAATGAAAACACGTTTTATGAGATGATTAAATACCATTTACGTGCAATAACGTTTAGAATATGACGTAAATGATAAGAACGAAACAGACTTATCAGTTTACAGAAAAATTTGTCTTTTTAATAATAATAAAAAATATTTTACTTTTTTTAGTCCAATTTCTTTTAAAGTAATAAATTTCTCGTGCTTCATTGGTCTAATTTTTTCAAACTCTGTCCTAAAGAGTGTGTCAATTTTTTGCCTTTTTATAAAAATTTAGTGAGTATTTTTTTCGAATACAATTTTAATGGGAATTATACATTAGTAAAGATTGGCCCTAGTACTCAAGTGTTTGTCAAGTTTTGACTTTTTGTAATGTATTAGTGTCTATCTTTGACACTAAATACTCATTAAGAAAAATAAATACTCATTACGTTTTTATTGAAAATTCAAAATTTGACATAAATTTTAGGTCGGAAAGAGTATTTTAAAAGATTAGACCAATAAAAGCAAGAGTAATTTATTATTAATAAAAAATGCTCATAATAAAAGTAAGAGTAAATTATTATTGACAAAAAATAGAGTTATATGAAATTGACTTAATGGTATGAAAAAAAAGTTTCTCATATGTAATTATAATGGAAAATGAAAAAATACATGAAATAATGATAAAGTTAACGAAAGGACCAACTGTGCAACGTTTTCATGATTTGAAGGACTTTTCATTGGCTTTTTAAAGTTGAAGGACTAATTGTGCATATTAATTAAACTTGAAGGATTAACGGTAGAATTTAGCCTTTTTTAATAAATACAAATATTTTTAGGGCATTGAAGTATTATGGTGTGGTTTGGCGTTAGTATGACATTATATCATCCCGTCTTTGAAGAACATGGTATCAAATGGGTTTAAACATAAAATCAAAACCATGTCGAATTGTTTGAATGGTATTGATATAGTACATGTTCTTTAAAAATACTGAACTGTCACGGACTGTCTCCATCTTGGCTCCATTGGTAACAGTTGACCGAACATGATTTAAATGCTCACGTCGGTTCGAGCGCTGAGACGATTCCGCTTCCTCTTGTTGTGCTTGTTGACACCATTGATAACGGCCCATCGCGAAACAACAAAAAATGAGAGCTCCTCTTTCATCGTTAGATGAAGATAATCCCATTTTTTAAGTGTTTTGTAGAGAGAAAGAGAATATGTTGTGTGTGCATATTTTTTTTAAATAAGGGGGTATTTATAGTTAAAAATTTATTTTTTAAAAATTGGCCAACACCGGACCGTTGGGGGGTGGCAACGTTCAAATTGCAGCCAGGCTACGTCAAACGTTTATAGCATACGCGTTAACGGCCTTTTGACGCTGGAAGGGCGCGGTGTTTAACGCCCCCATGTTGTTAAATGCCCCATAACAATGATGGGTGTCTCAAGCATTTCCAGTACTCTTAGGTCCACGAAAAAATTTACCTTCTTAATAATAAGAATAAATTATTTTTACTTTTTTAGTCCAATTTCTTTTAAAGTAATAAATTACTCATACTTTATTCATCTATTTTTTAATATTCACTCTGTCCTAAAGAGTGTGTCAGATTTTTGACTTTTCATAAAAATTAAGCCAATTTTTTTCCCAATACAATTTTAATGGAAATCATACATTAAAGATTAACCCTAATACTAAATTGTTTGTCAAGTTTTGACATTTTGCAATCTATTAGTGTTGATCTTTGACGTATAACTTCAATTAAAATTGTATTGAGAAAAACAAATACTCATTCTATTTTTTTTGAAAATTAAAAAATAGACATACATTTTAGGTCAGAAAGAGTATATTTTAAAAGTTTAGACAAATAAAAGCAAGAGTAACTTATTATTGTTTAAAAATGAACATAATATAAGTAAGAGTAAATTATTATTGTTAAAAGATGGACTTATACAAAATTTGACTTAATGATATGAAAAAAAGGTTACTCACATGTATTAATAATGGAAAATGAAAAAAATACATGAATTAATGACAAAATTAACGAAAAGGCCAACTCTGCAACATTTTCATGACTTATAGGATTATTCACAGACTTTTTAAAGTTGAAGGACTAACTGTGCATATATATTACCTAAACTTGAAGAACTAATGGTAAAATTTAACCGTTTTTAGTAAATACAATATTTTCAGGGCATTGAAGTGTTATGGTGTGGTTTGGCGTTAGTATGACAATAATGACATTGTACTAACTTGTTTTCAAACAACATGGTACCAAATCGGATGGAATCGTTTGAATAGTAATGATATAGTACATGTTCTTTTAAAAATTTCAAACTGTCATGGAGTGTGTCCATCCTAATTAGGTCTATGTTTCAATTTCGTGTAAGTCAAATGAGTATTTGTTTTATATTAAGGTAAACTTTTTTAAATTTATTTTTAAAAATAAATACTCCCTCCGTTCTAAAACTTTCTTCCCATAGCACTATTCCAACTTCACGGGAATTTATATTTATTTGTGTTTTTTCGTGGCCTATATGATAAAATAAAATATTCTTGTCACCATTTGTTTTGTTGAACTTTTGATGTAGTTTTTAAATATGTATGTTTTATTTTTTATTTCTATACCAATATTTAAATAAAATAGATTGAAAAAACTTGGAATTTTTCTTCGTTTTGCGAACCGGGAAGAAAGTTTTGAAGCAATTACCGATCAGTGTAGAATCTCAATGTTAAATTCCTAAAGATGTAAATCGTGTTCAACAAACACGACATACTTTTTCCCAATTGAAGTTGTGTTCGGCGAACACAACTTTGAATTCCTAATTAAAACTGTGTTCAGCGAACACAACTTTGACTCCTTAAAAAAAAGTTGTTTCACCGTTAATTTTATAGAGTATAACACAATCAAATGAATATAACACAATCAAATGTATGGTGCAATGATTGAAACTACAATTTGTATAACACAAAAAAAATTAAACATAACATTGCCTATTTAAAACAAAACATACACTGAATATTTAAAAACAACATAAACTAATATTTTAAAATAACATACATTAAATATTAAGAAGACAACAAAAACGATAACAAAAAAATTAAACATAACACTGCCTATTTAAAACAAAACATACATTAAATATTTAAAAACAACATAAATTCCCCTTGGGAGCGTTTTTGATCCTTCTGTTGTCCCATTTCATCTTATTTCCCCTGGAAGCGTTTTTGCCTATGGCGACCGAAACGCGATATTTCTCCTTCAGGCCTTATCGGTGGCAATACCAGATACTCTGCATAATTAAAATCATTTGGAAATATCACCGGTTTAATTTGGCCAGTGTAACAAATCTGATATCGTTGCACACTGTACATGTGAGAGACACAATCATCAGCACGTTGTTTGAAAGAATGGAACAAAGAGTGTACATGCACGCATGGAACACCGTCTCCTTGCCATTGTCCACAAGTACATGACTTATTCCCCAAGTCGATCACAAAGTTGTACATATGCCCTGGGT